TCCCAAAGTAGTACCAACAGCATATGACAAAAGGACAAAGAATCAGGTGGGGACACAGACACACAAGAAATGAGCAAACATCATTAAGGGGTCTACTGTTAAAATTAGCTGGATGAATGTCACAGGCATTTTCCCTGCTCTAACTAATGTTCTCCGAATTTTGACTAATATGATTGTTTCCTACAATCATCAGCTTCATCTAGTGGCCGCAAAGTAGTGTTTTCTAGAAATTCCTCCATTAGGAAAATATCTCATGGTTACAGTTCCCTTGATTACACGCGAGCAGGGGTGGACTGACCATTTGGAAACTCGGGCACTGCCCAAGGGCCCAGGGTCAGTAGGGGGCCCCATGAGATGCCCCTGATTCCTTTTTCATAGGCTTTTTTGAGTTTGGGCAAGGACGCAGGGGCCCCATGATCCCTATTACCCGGGGGGCCCCATGAGTTGTCAGTCCGCCCCTGCACCCGAGTGACAGTGTATAAATAATACAGTTATAGCTAGCAGATATTATAGCCGCTAGCAGTCAACACTGTTTGTTTTCCTGGTGGGGGGGGGGGGGGAGCCACACAATGGCTCCATGGGAGGGATTTTCTATTGAAAATCGCTCCATCTATGGGTATCTAGGTCATTGGAGACCTCCGCGTGGGAGCATGCTATACATTAGGCATTAGACATAAAATTACACATAAGAACACCTTAACCCATGAATAATTCATGTTATTTACCTAACAAAAACTCCCCTAATTAAACATCCAAAAGCCCTGAGACTGCTGCTGGGTGCCGTCATCTTGGATATGATTGGGGGTATCCTCCTGCGCTTTATATAGATGGAGTCCCTATATTAAAAGCTGCTGTCACTTGACTTAAACCAATAAGTGATCAAATAATGTATCTATAAATTAGTGAAGCGCTATAAATTATATATATATACCATAGTGCCCTTAATAACTCATAGTGCTCTGTGATAACAAGCTAATAAATTCCCAAAAATATATATAATAGGTGACAAACAAATAAGTGATATAGTATATCTTGTGTATCCAAAATAATTCATAAATCCAGCTATTAAGCTGATAACTGTGAATCACACAAATAAAATCATCCGTGTAAATATAAAAAAACAAACAAGTCCATGCAGGTGTAACTTATGAAAAAAAGAGGGTCTTCACTTCTAGTGCACAAAATCCTCAAATGGCAACAGTGCCTGCTCACCTCCCCACACTGACCCACACAGGGCCAAAGGGCTATTAATCTCCTCTATGACCGATCCTTATTGCACATTGCTCATCCAGGGATCGCAGGATTTCCACTCCACCTCACTCAATAGTTATATAGGACACAAAAAAGAACCTCCCATAGTGCAATATTGTTTAATAAAACGAGTTTAAAAACATAATAGTTACACTCACATTTTTCTCCTTGTCAAAACCAGCATTTCACCTCATCCCATAGGTGTATAACATGAAACAAGGGAAACCAATATGGCCGCTGCGTCCGGACATGCGTCCCCACGTGACCGGAAATGACATGGCCCAAAACTGGATATGGCGTACCGACGCGTTGCGTCACATGCGTCGTGACTTCATCAGGGTTAACTTTATTTGTTTGTCACCTATTATATATATTTTTATGGAATTTATTAGCTTGTTATCACAGAGCACTATGAGTTATTAATGGCACTATGGTATATATATATAATTTATAGCGCTTCACTAATTTATAGATACGTCATCTTGGATATGATGTTAGCAGCCTCAGCAGACTCAAAAGACACTCTAGTCTTCTCCTTTACTCCTTCCCTGGATGCTGCATAAAATGTGAGGAGCTGGGCCAGCACAGAAAGTAATTAGACACTCCCAGAAGAGGAGAGAAATATGATGTGCAAGTAGGGAGGGTGCAGGGAATTAACTTTCCTGGAGTAGTCAAATTTCAAAGGCACATTGTATGTGAATAAAAATAATTTATGGAAAAGAAAAACATTGCAAATAAGCATGTAAAGTACTTATTTTTTCTGTTATTTTACCTGCAGCTTTTGAAGTCAGTGACAGGGTCTCTTTAATCACTTGACCTCCAGAAGGTTTTACCCCTTTCATGGCTAGAGCATTTTTTTTTTTTGCTTTTCAGCACTGTGCTATTTGGCTGACACTGTACTCAAATAAAATTTATATAATTTTTTTCACACAAATAGTGCTGTATTTTGGTGATATTTGATCCCCACTGTTTTTTTTATTTTTTTATTATATAAATTAATAAAGACCAAATAAAAATATTTTCTAATTTCTGTTATACCACGTATTCAATAAAAAAATGAAACAATAAAAATTCTTATAAATGTAGGCCAAAATGTATTCTGCTACATGGCTTGAGTCAAATAAAATCCCAATAGGTGTATATTAATTGGTTTGTGCAAAAACTATAGCATCTAAAAACTATGGTATATACACTGGAATTTACTTAGCTATAGATGCTGTACTTGGTGATCAGCGACTTATAGTGGGACTGTGATAGTGGTGCGGGCAATCTGGCACTAGCTAACAATGGCTGGGAGGTACACTAACTGACAAACTGACACTGACATCAATAGGACACTAATACAATGATCAGTGATAATACTGTTCACTGTCACTGTACTAATGATACTGACTGGGAAGGGGTAAAAGGTGTTTTACCTTTCATGCCTTCTATGCATGAAGGTAAAAAACCTTCTGTATGCAGCACCCCTCCCCCCCAGCCACCTAATACCCACCTAAGCCCTCTCTTGATCCAGCGATGGGCACAGGAGTCTCGGCAATCCTAGGACTCCCTTTACTGATTGGTTGAGACAAACGTGGAAGCCATTAGATCCCACTGCTGCCAATCACAGCCACTGAGCCAATGAGAAGAGAGAGGGGGTGGGGGGCCGAGTCGTGGCTTCATGTGTGAATGAACACATGGAGCAGCGGGTGTCCCCATAGCAAGCTGCTTGCTGTCGGGGCACCCGACAGGTGGGAGGGGCCAGGAAAGCCTGCGGGGGACCTGAGAAGAGGATGATCTTCACTTCTCTGTGCAAAATCACTGCACACAGCAGGTAAGTATAGACATGTTTGTTATTTTTTCTTAAAAAAAGATAAGCCTTTAGAATCACTTTAACAATCAAGGGGTCAATTGTGTGCTTAACAATGTCTAATGTGTGTTATAAAGATGCATTTTTTGTATCATTAGGCAGATCTGTTATGTGTCAATGTACTCTTCCTACATTTTTGACAAGCAATTCATTTTTGAATTTGGAATTTGGAGTGGATAGGGTTAAAATATAACTAAAGGCAAATCTTTTTAATTTAGGTTTATATAGAGTGGAGAAGGATTGGAACACCTGTCAGTCTATGCCGCTATTAGGGAAATTCACTATTTGTCTTGGTGATTGCTATCACCCAGAATGAAAGTGAAAAAAATTTACATTTTAAGTTGTCATCAGAACATGAATAATAGGGAAATATTCCAGTGGGGACACTGGTCACTAGTTGTGGTCACTTTGCAGGGGGGGGGGGGGGGGGGGGGGGGGGGGCGGATGTTCTCACTTCCTATGGCTGTAAGACAGAAAGTAAATAGAAATCTTCTCAATGGGACTCAAAAAAAAAAATCTTCCCAATGGGACTCAAAAAAAGTTTTGGCCTTAGTTTTACTGTAACAGCCATTGACCAAGGCATGTTAACCCTTTCCAGCCCACCCTGACATCCCTTTAAATAGTTCAGAACATCCGTGGAGCAAGTAGGATCGGCGATCATGTGGGTACTGTCACAGCTACCTATCTTTACCCCAGACTGAGGTGTCTTGGACAGCTCTGTCTTTGTGCAGTAAGAGCACTCTCAGCACATAAACTTTGGCTACCCAGTGAGGCATATGTGCAGGGTGTGGGAGTTAAAGCCAACCCTTTTACTGCCCCACTAATGTGTTGGGTGGTTGTAAAGGAGTTAATACCAGTTGTCTGCGCATCAGAATGCATATAACTTGTTTTGACGCATTGCCATGAACTTCTATGGGGCATTCTAATATACTAAAGCACAGTTAAAAAAAGACGTCTTATTTTTCTAAACACTCTACACTGCAGCGTAAAGATAGGAAAGGACATTATCTTTATTATTAGATAGCTGGACACATTGCAACTCCTGCGTTTAAAGGCAACAGCGTAACTGGACCCCTTATCCTGAACTCTGGGAAACTTGAAAATTCCTCCTTGCAGTGGAACTGTGCCTGTACTGCAAGGGTTAACTGTTCATTTAGGTCCAGAGGACATGGAAAAGTAAATTTACTTACCTAATCCAAAATGCCTTCTCCCCCATGCTCCAGCGATCTAAGGTCTTGATATCATCAAGAATGATGAAGGGACTATAGCCCTCGATTGGACGTGAGGATGTCGAGGAACACTTCAACACCGGAGCATGGGGGAGCGCCACTTGCAAGGATAAATAAAAGTGAGTTTTGATACCTCTAGACCAGGGGCCTCCAAACTTTCTAAGCAAAGAGCCAGTTTACTGCCCTTCAGACTTTAGGGGGGTCGAATTGTGGATTGTGGCCAGTGGGGGTAGAAAATGGCCTGGCATCAAAGGGAGTAAACAATGCCTCAGGTTTGTTGGTTAGTGGGAATTAAAAAATTGCATAGCACTTGTCCCCATCATTGGATCAGTGGAAGGAGCATTGTCCCATCATTGGTGTCATTGGGAGGAATAGTCCCCCTTCATTGATATCAGCAGGAAGAATAGTGCCCCATCATTGGTACCAGTGAGAGGAATAGTGTCCCATCATTGGTATTAATGAAGGAATAGTGTCCCATCATGGGTATCAGTAGGAAGAATAGTGCTCCATCAACAGAATCAATGCAAGGAATAGTGCCCCATCATTGGTATCAGTGGGAGGAATAGTGCTCCATCATTGGTATTGGTATTAGTAGGAAGAATAGTGTCCAATCATTGGTGTCACTGGGAGGAATAGCCCCCCTTCATTGATATCAGCAGGAAGAATAGTGCCCCATCATTGGTATCAGTGGGAAGAATATTGCCCCATCATTGCTATCAGTGGAAAGGATAGTGCCCATCATTGCTATCAGTGGGAGGAATAGTGCCCCATCCTTGATATCAGTGGGAGGAATAGTGCCCCATCCGTTGGTATCAGTGGGAAGAATAGTGCCCCATCATTGCTATTAGTAGGAAGAATAGTGCCCCATCATTGGTATCAGTGGAAGGAATAGTGCCCCATCATTGGTATCAGTGGGAGGAATAGTGCTCCATCATTGGTATCAGTGGGAGGAATAGTGCTCCATCATTGGTATCAGTGGGAGGAATAGTGCCCCATCATTGCTATTAGTGGGAGCAATAATGCTCCATCATTGGTATTAGTAGAAAGAATAGTGCCCCATCATTGGTATCAGTGGAAAGAATAGTGCCCATCATTGCTATCAGTGGAAGAATAGTGCCCCATCATTGATATCAGTGTTAGGAATAGTACCCCATCATTGGTATCAGTGAGAAGAATAGTGCTCCATCATTGGTATCAGTGTTAGGAATAGTACCCCATCATTGGTATCAGTGGGAAGAATAGTGCCCCATCATTGGTATCAGTGGAAGGAATAGTGCCCATCATTGCTATCAGTGGAAGGAATAGTGCCCATCATTGCTATCAGTGGGAGGAATAGTGCCTCATCATTGGTATAAGCGAGAGGAATAGTGTCCCATTATTGGTGTCAGTGAGAGGAATAGTGTCTCATTATTGCTATCAGTGGGAGGAATAGTGCCTCATCATTGGTATTAGTGAGAGGAATAGTGTCCCATTATTGGTGTCAGTGAGAGTAATAGTGTCTCATTATTGCTATCAGTGTTAGGAATAGTACCCCATCATTGGTATCAGTGGGAAGAACAGTGCCCCATCATTGCTATCAGTGGAAGGAATAGTGCCCATCATTGCTATCAGTGGGAGGAATAGTGCCTCATCATTGTTATTAGTGAGAGGAATAGTGTCCCATCATTGGTATTAGTGGGAGGAATAGTACCCCATCATTGGTATTAGTGAGAGGAATAGTGTCCCATTATTGGTGTCAGTGAGAGGAATAGTGTCTCATTATTGGTATCAGTGGGAGGAATAGTGCCTCATCATTGGTATTAGTGAGAGGAATAGTGTCCCATTATTGGTGTCAGTAAGAGGAATAGTGTCATCATTGGTATCAGTGGTAGGGGAGTAGTGCCCCATCATTGGTATCAGTTAGAGGAATACTGTCCCAATGTTGGTGTCAGTGGGAGAAATAATGCCCTATCATTGATATTATTGGGGTAATAGTGCCCCATCATTGGTATCATTGGGAGAAATGGTGACCCATCATTGATGTCAGTGGAAAGATTAATACTGTTGTTAGTATCAGTCGAAGGAATGGTGCCTCAAGGGCCAGATAAAGACTAGCAAAGGGCTACAGTTTGGAGACTGCTGCCCTACACTAAACAAGCATTTAAGGACAAATTTTAAAACTTCCTGGAGTTTGGCTTTAATGTTATTTTAATGAATATATAACAGCATTACATGGTGATTTATATATTTGTTTGGAGGTTGGCTTCAATGATATATTTTTCAATATTGCATTAAAAGTGTGAGTCCCTCTATTGAGCATTCCGGTGACCTATCTATCTGTGAATGTAGTATAAGCCCATTCAGTCGATGTGTGTGCTTCTGTGTCTGCTAAGACAGATAGAGGGTCTATGTATATCCCACTGTATGTCCTACTGTAAAATAAAGCCAGCAGGAGAAGCCTGTGGTCGTTAAGTCTGCGGAAAATTTAGAGATGTCTTTTTTGAATCTCCCGTCATGTAACCAAATGCTATTTATACCCAGACCTCTGTTCACCTCAAACCACTCTCCCCAGTGTTTTCCAGGTCGCCCAATGAGAGGAAGAGTGGTACAAAGCCGTGCACTGCACTTTAATGACATGCAGGGTGCCCAGGGGAGCCTGATATGGCTGTCCCTGATTTGTGGGGGTTCCAGCCAAAAAGAACTGGTGTTTCCTAGAGATCCAATGGGAAGTGCAGTCTTTCGAATGTAGAGTGTGTGAGGTTATGTGAGGGATCAGCATTCAGGCTGCGTTATTTGGGGTAAACACACCAAAGCCGTCTCATTAGGGAACCCGATTCAATCCATTCACATTACACTTTGCTGAAAAAAAGGCATCTTAACCCCTGCAGCGCCAAGGGCAGCAGCAATGCCTTGTACTTAGCCTGGCACCAGAAAGGTTAACAAGGAAACCTTTGAACAGTGTGCAGTGATTTCCTCCATTTCAGACTAGATTCTCTCTGCCTTTCTTCTCTTCTGCCCTAAAAATAAAATAATACATTTCTGTTCTACGCTATGGGATCTGCCGGAGAGAGGGAGTTGTGGGATCTGGAGAGGCTTTCGAAAGTAACAAGAGTTGGCGATGGCCGTTTCCTGTGGGTGAAGTTTTCTGATCTGAGTTCAAATTCATTTTTAGCTGCCTGTGTTTAAAATTCTGTTTGTTGAGCCGAACGCTGTAGAATTTACACATTTGTTCCTGGGCAAACATTTTGCTTGACGTTGATAAATGGGATTGCCGTAACTCACTATATTATATGTCTAAAGGAACCCACCAGGAAAACAATATAGAAGATGCAGATGCCAATTTGTTGTTAACTCTTTTGTGGCAAGAGGTAATTGGAGCTTAGATGCCCAGACCAAATTTAGTAGTGTCATGTAAAGCCCAAATACAGGAGGCATATTTTTTGTACTTACTTTGGGCCAGCTTGGCCTGATGCAAGTGTCCATATCTGGAAGGCAACTGGGGATGTTGTAAATCAAGGGTGTGCAACCTGTGGCCCAAGAAGGCCATGAATGTGACCAAATACAACTTAGCAAACACGTGTCTGAAGAAAAATTTGACAGTGTCTCTTTACCGGAAGGTTTATAAATTTTATCTTCCCAAAGAAAACTCTCCCACTCTTCACAATCACATCATATTCATGTCATCATTTTTCACCAGCACCTATATTTGTGAGCAACTATTTTCAAGGATGAAGCACATGAAGGGAAAAAATTAGAACTAAAATATTTGATGAGCACCTTGGGAATTCATTGAAAATTGCAACAATATCCATGGAACCAGATACTGATGAGGTAGATTATCAAAAACTGAGTCAAATATTGCACTAGTTTTATGCTGCCCTCTTTTACAATAAAACAATATTACAAAAAAAAGTTTTGTTACTCAGATAGGTACATTATTTATGTGAGTGATCATTATCTTGTGATCTGCCCAACTTTTTCTGCTCATCAACTATCCTTATTGTTTCACAAGAAACCTTACCGTTCCCATGGAAGACCCCACCCACCCACGGAAAAGTCCCAACTACAACTACTGTACTGTTTCAGAATTCTGGCAGTAATGATATACTTCTGCAAAGTAACCCCAAGGGGTTGCTCACTCGGTACTACTGCCATTCAGAGAATGGCTGGTATTTGTTTAAATGCAAGGTGTTCTCTGATTGCACAAAGTGAAGGGTTGTTGATGTCACGATCTTTACCTCGCCCAAAAAATGCTATGTATTGATTGAAAAAAATAGAAGGCTTTCTCTGATTGGCTCTTCTGCATTGTAGCCACAAGCGATCACTAGCTCAGCGCTGGACCTAGAACACTGCTGCTATCACTGTAGTAGAGGCAGATACTACAGTGATTTTCAGCTTTCATCGGGATTGTTCAGATATTTGATATGCATACTTAGCCAGTTGCCCGCTGCCCTATAGCAGAAATACTGCTACAGGGCGGTAGGGCTGTGCAAACTCACTTATATATATACATGATTTTGCATTTCCAGTTAGGTGGCTACAGATGTCAATCACCGGGTTCCAGCCAGAGATTCTCCGCCGGCACCTGGCGATCGCTGAGCAACACTGACAGGGGAGAGACCTGTGAGTAAACAACACAGGTCTCTCTCCTGCCAGCAAGAACACGCTGCTGTGTATTTCTCTGCACAGCAGAGAAATATACAGCAGCATGTTTCCCAAGTAAAACAGCACACAGTTAACCCTTTGATTGCCCCAGATGTTAACCCCTTCCTGCCCAGTGCCATTAGTACAGTGTCAGTGCTTTTTATTAGCACTGATCACTGTATTAGTGTCATTGGGATGTCAGTGGCAGTTAGTAAGTTCCCCCCCAGTGTCAGAATGCCCACCGTAGTCCCGCAGTCCCGCTATAAATCACTGATTGCCGCCATTACTAGTATAAAAAAAAAATTCCAGTATATATACCCACCATTTGTAGTATAATTTTCACGTAAACCAATTAATTTACATATATTGGGGTTTTGTTAGCAAAGACATGTTGCAAAATACATTTTGGCCTAAATTTATGATGAAATTAGATTTTTTACATTTTTTTACTGGATATGTTTTATAGCAAAAAGTCAAAAATATTGTATTTTTTTCAAAATTGTTGGACTTTTTTTATTTATAGCGCAAAAAATTAAAACTGCACTGATGATCAAATACCACCAAAAGAAAGCTCTATTTGTGGAAAAAAAAAGGACATACATTTCATTTGGGTGCATTATTGCATGACCGTGCAATTGTCAGTTAAAGTAATTTAGAGCCGTATCGCAAAAAATGGCCAGTTCAGGAAAGGGGGTAAATCCTCTGGAGGGCAAGTGGTTAAAATGGTCCAAGTTGTAACAATACAATTCATACCTAAACTTCAGCTTTTAACGTGCATATGTGGCATTTCAAGCCCGGTCTGTTTGACAGTGGGCAGGAATGACACAGACCTGGCTGCCATTGAAATGCCACATACACAGCCAATGCTGCAATTGTTCTGCATCTCCTTGGCTGCCAATGAGGAGAGAAGGAGAGAGAGTGGACACAGGAGACTTGCAAGGCAGTGCTACAGCCACTGTGAGCTGGAGGAGAGACCGTCTACCACCCCAAATTGCAGAGGACACTGTTATTGGCTTCTGTGCAGCCTGGGAGGAAAGGGGACATCTGGGAACCTCTTGGGACTATGGGAAATGCAGTCCCCAGGAGACATGTTCCAATTGAACCAAGGATGGGACAGGACTGCAAGTCCCAGGAGACCAGGGAACTGCAGCAGAAAAGGAAAAAGAAGGAGGCCCTGGGCTTGGGGAAGTTTTGTGGGGAACTGAAAAGTGATCACTAGAGAGAGACTCTACTGCAACATCTACCCAGAGGTCACAGCTGTGACAGATCACCATCACCAGTTCTGTGGGAGATCATCATCAATGAGTCCTAAGTCACAGCTGATGTCCCCATTTTCAGACAGAGAGCAGAAGAAGGTGTAATCACCTCTGGTGGTGAGAGGCTACAGGCCACTACT